CACTAGCAAAGGACGAAAACGAGTGTAGATAATTTAGAAAGAAGAAGAATGAAAATACAACCCTAGGTGTTTTCAAATTTCTAAATCGCAACCAAACAAAGCCCAGGATAAGTCTAAAAGGCTTTCACAAGCTCATAAAACTCCAAAATCATCCAAAAACCAAAAATAAGCCAATGTTGCAACCGGAAATGATCGCAGTAATGAAGACGCCACTGACATCCTTTCAAATTCAAACAGCCCAAGTCCCAAAAGCCCAAAAAGTAAGTGTAATTCCCCTCGCCAAACAGTCGCCGGGGGCCATAAATTGGCTCGGAATGGTGAGAAAGCCCATCCCGAATCGTGTTTATGCCATTTGATGGGGTGTGTGCGTGTAATTGGATTGGGTGGCTGGGGGGTAGTTAGATGGGCTATATGGCTATGGGGGGTCAGGGGTCGCGACACCCCATTCCGGGGTGCCGGCCAATGGACCCATAAATCAATCGGGGCTGAATAACGCGCCCAGGCAAGGCAAGGCAAGGGCGGAGGGCTCGCTTGCTGCTGGGGCTGGCTCCTCCTGCTCCTCCCCCCTCCCCTCACAGCCACTGGCAATAGACACCAAGACAGACAGACGGACAGACATACAAACGGGCAGACAAACCGCTGGCCCCTCCTCCCTGGCTCCATCCCCCGAGGACTCTCCGCCCCTGGCTGATGCTGCTGGTGATGGCCACAGACTACGCGACGTCCCGGTCCCGGTATTTTGAATTGGATAATGAGGTGGTGAGGAAGCTCGAGCAGAAACCTTGGGTTCTTTCGCATTGATCGGGGGGGAGGACCAAACCTTTTTTGCATAGTTAGCATCAAATTTCCCAAAAATCATAGCGTAAGTGTGTGGCAGCGGGTTTTTACTATGCCTAAACGTAAAGAACTTTACAATTTTTTATTAAAAATACAAAACATATCGATTTCTCGACCAGAAATGTCCGTTTTTCACCAAAATTGCGAGTTTTTTAAAACGCCTCAAGGTTTCTAGATAGTTTTTCGAGTTAAAATATAGCTTTATTTTGCCAAAAACAGGAAAATGCTTCCTACTACGTTACTAGACATTTCCAGATGAATAGGAAAATACCTCCCCTCCCCGATAATGCGAAAGAAACAACGCATCAACAAGTGACACCCTAACCTTCCGGCACTTATTGTTAGCTAAAATTTAAAATTCTGGCGGGGTATCGAAAACACTTATCGGCTTGCCTGCCCGTGACATCTACAGGAGCAACGACTACTTATTTCGCTTGACAATCGACGAGTCAACGACTTCTTCAAAGAAATTGGCTACAGATGCGCGAAGTACGCTTCTGTACGACGAAAAGGCGACACGCTTGAATCAACCTTCTTGCTCTTTCCACTTCCGTTCTCGCGGCACCTCAAAAGCCTATGAAAATCACATTAAAATACACTTGATCAAAACGTCGGTTTCTCGCAAAGCATTTCTCGTGTGTAATGTATTTATTAATCCTCGAAACAACCATAAAAAAGGTAAAGACATAGAAATAATACCCGGAAATTGATGGATCAGATGAATCGATACGGGGGAATGAGTACGTGCGCAAAATTCATAATAAAGGGATCGAAAAATGAGAAAATTACAAGTTTTGATGAATTCCTAAAGTCTAAAAAGATACAAAGTAAAGTTACGCGGGGAAGTTGAAAACATTTGAGGAGCTTTGCGGTTGGTCGGTGTCCATGTCGGCCTCGCTGCCGTCCTGCACCGACGCGCTGAAGTCGTAGCGGTTGGAGAGGTTGCTCAGGTCACGATGAAGCTCGTCAGAGGCCGCCTTGTCGAGGGCTAAAAATCAAATAATAGAATAAACTCTAACGCCAATCCACAAGAAACTTAAACTTTAGTGAAATAAAACTCGATTTGAACTAGAAAAACTACCTAAAAACGTTAAAATATTTTCAAAAATTCGAAATTTTGGTCAAATACGGCCATTTTTGGTCGTAAAACCGATATTTTTTTGTACTTTTAATAAAAAATTTTTATTTTTATTTTAAAAAAAATAATAAAAAAATTTAAATTTTTACTAAAAAAATTATGTTTAGAAACACTTCCGCTATTTATATTTGAAAAATTTGATGCTAAGAAAAAAGTTGTCCCCCCCGATAATGCGAAAGAACCTCCAGTCGAAAAGTCTTTAACAGTGCTTTTTAATCTTAAAATCCGAAAAAACCGACCAACTGCTTGCGACGTGGACCAGGTGGTGCCCTTGTGCGCCTGGCCGATGCAGATCTGCGACAGGTAGTCGAGCTGGCTGGACAGGTCTCTCTAAAACAAAAAAAAGATTCCGATATTGCCAAAATCACACCTCTATCGACTGGACGTGCTTCTTGAAGTTGGCGCCGAACTCGTCGAATTTGGCCTGAATTATCGACGTTGAAAAAAGTAAAAAATCCCATACCCTGGTCGTTTGCTTCTCCTTCGCCAGCTCGCCCAGCGTCAGCGACACGTACTTCAGGGCGTCGGGTATCCGCGCTTCGACGTCTTCCAGCTTAAAAAAAATCGTTAAATAAGGAATTTAACTATTTAAAACGCTGATAAAAACGATCTTTGGCATTTTCGGGGGAACAAATTTTTTGCCTATGACCCAGTTTTTTAAATATAAATAGCGGAAGTGTTTCTAAACTGTTTTTTACTATCCTTAGACGTAAACTTTACAAATCTTTTATTCAAAAAGCATAAGATATTAATTTTTCAAACTAAAATTGCCGTTTTTACCAAAATTACCACTTTTTGAAAGTTTTTACGTAGTTTTTCTAGTTGAAATTGTTAATTCACTAAAAACTATATATCTATAAGACTAGCATTTTACCCCAAACATTTCCCCCCCCGATAACGCCAAAGAACCTTAAAACGGTTTTGAATACAATTTTTCCGGCCAGTTAACCATAAACCTAGTAAAAACCCCACCACTTTCTGCCGGTCGATGGGGATGGGCTCGGGCGTCTCGGTGGGCGGGTTGCCGAGGTTCGGGTCCATTTTGTGTGTGTTGTAATACCTGAAAAATCGGTATAAAATGTGCCTTAAAATTGCGGAATTCGCGAGAACAAATGGAAGACATAAAGCAACAAAAAGACAATGCCACCTGAAGAAAATCGCGTTGCTTTTCTCGTGGATTTTGGAAAAATTCGTTTGCCGGAAAACGGCCTGAAAACAGTGCCTCTCGTAATAAAATGGGAGAGGGAAGACTTATCAGAATTCAGAACATTTAAAAGACGAATTTTTTCGGCTCAATTGCCCCTTTTTTAAAAAAATTTCGAAAAGGAAAGGCCTAAAAATAGTTGGGCCATGCAATCAAAAATGAAGAAAACCTCAAGAAAACAATTTAGCGGTCCAAAAAGGTGGTGAAAAGGAGGAAAAAGAAAATAAAAAAAAAAAAAAAAAAATTTTTTTTTATGATAATTTATTCTTTTTTTTATATTTATTAAAAAATAAAAAAAAAATTTTAAAAAAAAGGGGGGGGTTTTTTTTTAAGACAAAGAATACCTAAAAGCAGAAAAACAACATTAAAAACACGAATTTTCGGTTGAATTTTCAAAAACCGGTGCTCTTTTGCGGTTAGGAGATGCTCCTAAATCGTGCACCGGGCAACGTAGCGCCCCAAATAACCCGTGGTAAGCGGACCAGCTGATGCTCCCCGTTGAAGCCGGAAACGGGCCCGGAAAACAACCGGCTTTACAGCTAGGCAGCGGCTTGAAAACCTAAATTTGCTTTTGATTTGCAAAGTAAAAGGCCGGTGGTTTAGTTGGAAGCGCGATGCGTTGGAGCTGGATTCGATGATCGAGCACAAATCCCGGAATCGCCTGCCTAGCACTAGTACTTCGCCAATAGCAAGTCGGTTGAATTGTGCATAAAAGAAAATAGATTGCAGTTTTTCAATACATTTTAGACGTCTTATAAAACAAGACGATTAATGAAATAGAGTCGATTCGAGCTTCCGGGACTGCAAAACCTGAAAAAACACCTCAGAAATTGCGAAAACAATGAAGAAGAACTGGTTTTTCAGTGCGAAAAAGCAAATTTTAATTGAATTAAAGCCGTTCAACTTTTACAATGTCCTTATACGTGTCGTTTTAAATTTCAAATAAGGGTTTTCTTGGATGAAATAGACATTTTTACAGCTCTTTTCGTGCTGAAAAACCTAGAATATTCTTCAATTTTCGCCAAAAATCAGAATAAAAACTCATAAAGCTTTTTCTAACCTTCAAATATTTAGCAAATCGATTACGCCACGAAATTCGAAACACCTATCGATAGTAGCGTTTCGGAAATTTCAGACTCTCTTCTGAAAAATTTTTAAAATTACAAAGATAAATTTAAGACTAAATTAAAGCAACAAAAATTATATTACTATTTAATTCATTTTTCACAATTGTTATCTGTAAATTCGGAAGGTTTTTCTATAAAAATAGGTAATCCGTGTAGCGGGCGTCTCCCGTGCGACGCGTTCCGTTACGCAATGGAACATGGCGTTGCGCAACAGCTTGTACGCACTTGTTTTTCGCGTCTAAAAGCTTCAGGCTTGAGTTTTAGCCCAAAAATACCCTTAAACTGTAGAAACTGATAATTTTACAGTCGGTTGCCGCGTGTTGCCCCTCGACTCGGGCTTCTCATCGCCGAAAGAGTGCGCCATCACGCCGCCCGGCGTCCTGACCAAGTTCGACATCTTGAAGCCGGTGGGTTCAGCTAGCTCAGGATTGGCTTGGGCTTGGCCTAGGCTTTGCTTAGACTTGGCTTAGGCTTATCTTAGGCTTGGGTTAGGCCTGGCTTAGGTTTGGCTTATGCTTGGCTTAGGTGTGGCTTGAGCTTGGCTTAAGCTTTGCTTAGGCCTCACTTGGGATTGGCTTAGGCATGGCTTAGGCATGGCATAGGTTGGCATAGGCTTGGCTTCGGCGTGGCTTAGGAAAAAAAAGAATCTTCTAAAATCAGAAACAAATGATAAAAATAAATTTAGAATCGCGGGATGACGATCGAAGGGACCTCGCCGATGGCGTCGCCGCGTTTTCGGCAGAACTCGCTGGCCGCGTCGCCGACGCCGACGGTGACCAGGTAAGAATGAAGCTATCTTGAAGGACCCGTGAAGGCAGGGGATGCTGTAGCTTTAAAGGTACTGGACTGTCAGCGGGGCGGGGTGGTTTAGCCCGGGAAACCGGGGAAACCATTTTCAAAGCATTTCAAGCAGTGTTTAACTAGTTTGATTAGTTAATAACCGATCATAAAAATTTAACCCCCGCTAACAGCACAGTACCGATTTAAATAGTTTAAAAGTCATCTTTAAAGGGGAAACCATCTTTAAACCATGTAAAGCAGTTTTTAACTAGTTTAATGAGTTAATAACACGTAAAAAATTATCCCCCCGCTAAGAGTCCAGTGCCAATTTAAATCGTCTAAAAAGTCATTGAATTAAAAGTAGTTTGATTTCTAGTTTGATCTCCCTTTTTTCGCATCTGGATTGCCCGGGGGCATTTATGGATACCTAGTGGGTGGGGTCAGAGAGACATGAGAGACACCGACAGACAGACAACCAGATAGACAGACGTCATCTGCAATTTCCAAGACGTAATCTACTAGGCAATATGGAACCGGAAATTCCCCGGGTATCCCCAACTTCTACTACCAATAATCATAATACCTCATCAATGCTCGACTACCTTAACGTTTTCCTAAACGGCGCCCAGCAAGAGCAATCACAGGCAGCTGCCGTGAAAGAAAATTAAGTTTTTGGGTTTAAAAAGAGATTATTAGGGAATTGGTAAGCTAGCAGAGATTTTTTAGGAATGGGCAGGCTAGCAGAGATTTTTTAGGAAAGGGGAGGCTAGCAGAGATTCTTGAGGAAATAGCGGCGGCCATTGGGGAGGTTGTAAGGGGCTACTAGCAACGATTTTTGGAGAATTTGGGCAAGCTAGCAGAAATTCTGGCGGATTTTTTCCATGATTTTTCATAATTTTTACAATTTCAGGGCACCCGACCCGCCGAAATGCACGTGCTGCAAGACGGTGGCCAAGGACTCGGGCAGGGTGGCCTTTATGTGCAAAACCTGCTGCATGCAGTCGTGTGAGTTTTGTTTTGTTGTCGTTAAAATCGCGGCACTTTCGCATTACCGGGGGTGGGGCTGGAGAACTTTCAGAAATTTAACTAATTTTAATTAAACCAGGGTTGAAAAGCCGCTTCGCGACTTTTCAACCCTGGCCCCGTCTAACCTCATTTTATCCTTCACTTTGCATAATGGTACTGAATTCAGATGACAAAAAATGAAAAACAACCTCGTCTGTGCATTTATATAGTCGAATCACCATTTCCGGTCTATGCTAATTATTTCCTAACAAAGAAGCTTTCACAAAAACTTAAATTTAATGTCGAAAATGGCTGATTTTGTAAAATTTGATATGTGTGCAGTCATCTCAAGGCCATTGCGCACCTAATGACGTATCACACATACCCGTAACTTCCTCCCCTATTGAGATATCCTCCGGACAGACAGACGGAAGTGGATGCAAAGTGGCACACACACACACAGACACACACACAGACACTATTTTTTTTATATATAGTAGGATACTATATTTTTAATACCCCAATTTTTCAGTGCGTTTTATGGCCCGAAAGGAGCAGATCCTCACCAAAAGCTACAAAAACCAAGAGTTGGAGAGGGAGGCTGAAGGGCTTTTTATGAATGTGGTGAGTATGAGATACTGTATGCCAGGATTACGGTACTTTAAAGGGTCCGGAAGTCAAATTCCGTAGGTCAGGCAGGTTAGCAGAGATTCTTTAGGAAAGGGTGAGCTAGCAGAGATTTTTTAGGAAAAGGCAGGCTAGCAAAGATTCTTTACAGAAACTACCATTAATTCGTAATTTCCCCCATTTTTAGCACAAAGACCAGATGGAAATCGAGGACCTCGAGGCGCGAGTTTCAGCTTTGCGGGAAAAGCGCGACAGGCTGAAGAAGAAGATCTCGGTGAGTACGCGAAACTACAAACCACACCCCACGCTACGCTACAAATGACACCCAGTGACGCCCTTGTGTGTTTAGGAGGAGCGGAAGGAGAAGGAGCGCATCCAGAAGCACTACACGGAGCGCGTGATCAATTTGTGCACCAAGATCCAGGCAAGGTTTTTTAAATAGAAAGAATTTATTTAGTCAGCCCAAAATAGAAAATATTAAATTAGGTACTGGACTGCTAGCGGGGGACCAATTTCCGTAGTAATTTTGCAAGGCCCTATAACAAAATATAAACCATTTTATAGCATTTTATACGTTTTTTAGATATAAAAACACGCAAAACCGGTATTATAAAATTACGAATGTTATTTTTGGCAAAAAATCTCAGAAAAATGACCAAAATACAAAAAAATCTGACTTCGATATTTTTAAAAATTGCACATGATTTTCCAGCAATAAAAACGAACTAAAACACTATAAAATGTAAAAATGATGGTATATTATCAAAAGCTAGGTATGTGGGAAAATCGAATTTGCCCCCCCCGCTAACAGTCCAGTACCTGAAATTATACAAAAAAAATTCCAGGCAAAAGAGCCGGTGCTGGCGAAAAGCGCGGACGATAAAGCGGCGAGGCAGGCGAAACGCGAGGAAACTCTTGACGGGCTGAAGCATGATGTGAGTGAATTTTATAGTATTTAACTTGCCGGGGATTGGGCAGGCTAGCAGGGATTCCTTGGGAAATTCCGGGCATCAAAAATAACCGGCCCAGGCCATATGGCAAAGAAACTTTCCGAATTTAGCGGGGCCTCTAGCAGAGATGCCTTGGAAAAATTTGGGGGGGGGCTCGCAGAGGTTCTTCGCGGAAAAAGGCAAATATTCGGTTAAGATGGCCCTGCGGAGACAGGAGCATTGTCTTCGGCTATTCGAAATGTTCCCAATTTGCGAGGTTCGCCCGGATATGGAGGCATCTACAGTACCCTCGACAAAGTGAGTAAATCCCTCTCTCTCTCTCTCTCTCTCTCTCTCTCTCTCTCTCTCTCTCTCTCTTTCTGTCTCTCGGTCTGTCTCTCGCTCTCTCTCTCTCTCTCTCTCTCTCTCTCTCTCTCCCTCTCTCTTTCTGTCTCTCGGTCTGTCTCTCGCTCTCTCTCTCTCTTTCTCTCTTTCTGTCTCTCGGTCTCTCTCTCACTCTCTCTCTGTCTCGCTTTCTCTCTCTCTCCTTTTCCCTCTCTCTGTCTCGCTCGCTCTCTCTCTCTCTCGCTCTCTCGCTCTCTCTCTCTCTCTCTGTCTCTCCCTCCCCCTAAATTTAATTTTTCCACGTTTAGCAGGGACGCTTGGGCTGTTCTACAGGGAGTTCTACCCCCATCCGGTCCAGAAGAGCGCAACCCCGCCAGAATTTATCAGGTTTCAATTTTATCGTAATTTATTGAGTTTTAAAAAGACATTTAATGACTTAAATCGAATTCAAAAGGGTTTTTAAACATTTTTGCCAGGTTCGCGACATAATCTGCGGACTGGAGTGGGAAAAGGCGCGCGACGACCTCGCAGAAAAGCTCAAGGAGGGAGCGTTGTCCCTTCCCAAACAACTGCATCAACAATTGGTGGGAATATATTTAAAATGCTTAAAAAAAGCAGGCTAGCAGAGATTATTTAGGAGAGGTCGGCTAGCAGAGATTCTTTAGGAAAAAGCAGGCTAGCAGTGATTCTTGAGGATTCATAAATCTCGCTGATTTCAGGGTTCCCTCGTGCTGACCGTGGAGCTCGTCTCCAACCTTCTCCAGGTCAACGATGTCGTCATCGCCCACGGGGTAGGCTATTAAAGGGAACGGAAACCCAGGATTCCCGTAACAATCGCTGCTAGCTGACCCTTAAAACCCACTAAATCAATTCAGATTTCGTTACGGGACACCTGGGTCGACCCAAAGTCCGCATCGTGGACGTCCGAAATTCTGGACAACATTTGGTTCAAGCTGTGCTACTCGGTGTACGCCCTCTGCGTCGCGTACAACCTCAGCCAAACGGTAGGCCTCGCGGGGAGTACAGGGCAAACTAGCAGAGAGAAGTTGGGGAAATCGCGAAACTAGAGAACCCCCCCCAAAAAAAAAACGATTTAAAATTGCCTGAACAGCAGCTTCGCACGACGCCTTCCGTGAACTGCTCGTAGACGCTGGCCGGGGTGTTGTGCTTCGGCTTGACGTCGCTGACCATTCGCCCTGAAAAATTGGGATAAAGCAAAGTCTCAAAGCAACTCTGCTAGCCTGCCCTTTCCTAAAGAATCGCTGCTTGTTTCAGGAAATCTCCTTCGGCGCCCCCCACCACAATCTGATCCAGCTGGCCAATTATATGGCGAGCGGCCCCGTGCCGGTTAGTTAACAGAACTTTAAGCTAAAATTAAATTCCTGAAAATCAGATCTAAAAGTAACTTTTCAAAAGGGATTAATTCACATAATTAAATGCAAATTATTCAGCCGCTCGTGCCGAATCTGATCGACGTCGACAACGAGTTGGCGATTCGCGAACGGGACCATATGGTATCTTTCTATTTTCAGCTTTTAAATTTTTATTCCGTACTAATTTTTATTATTGATTTATGTAGTAAAAAATAATTTGGACAGTTATTTATCTTTTGAATGCTTAGCTTTAAATTAATTTTCAAAATAAAATTTAAATAATTTTTTGATGTTAAAGTAATTAAATTTTTAATACATCTAAAACCAGCAAATTTTGCAGGCCGAATGGGACACGTGTGACGACTTGGACAGTCTGGCTGAGATGAAGATTACGTAAAAACCTTGGAAAAAATCGATGGCTAAGCCGAAATATACTATAAAAAATTGTACCATATCACTGTAAATGGCTGACTTTGTAAAAAAACCGCCGGTCTCTACCGTACCTCGCTGCCCCACACGTCAATTTTGTGATTTTCTGTCACTGCTCACGCTGCCCTTAGAAAAAATATTTGCGATTTTTTTCTATCCCCCGGATTTTGCTGGTGATTTACAATTTTAAGCTGGTAATATTTGCGAATAAACGTTTTACAAATTAATTTGAATATTTTGTTACTAATTTTATCAAAAAAAAATACAGAAGGAATCGGCTGTTTGATCAAAAATAGACGGCTTTAGTTCAATAAATAAAAAATTTTGTAGGATCTTTAGATAGTTTTCCTTGAATGCTAAAAAGCCGGCAAACCAGCAGAAATTCTTTAGGAAAGGCCGGCTAGCAGAGCATCTTTAGGAAAGGGTAGGCTAGCACAAATCTTTCAAAAATTCGTAAAAATCCACCTTTCGCCGTCCCAAAATCGAAAATCCCAAAATCGGCATCCGTGTGTTGTTGATTGAAGCGCCGAGTAGTTACCTGAAAATCAGCAACATTAAATGCAAAAGGAGAACGACGTTGAGCACGAGGGAAGCATTATAAGTTTTTGGGCGTTAAAGACCAGCAAACTAACATACAAAACTATCCTAGCTACGTTATTACAACGCAATTTTTGTCTCCGAAGGCCCGGGGCAAGTGGAAAGAAGCTTCAATGACGCCAAGCGTTGAAACAAGCCAGCAGAGACGGCCGTTCCAAGGCATGCTAATGCCCTGGGGGCAGTCCGGATTTTGACTAAAAGACGCTCCAAATGCCGTTTTTTAAACTCGAAGCCTCTGGAAACGCTAAGTTAAGCATAAGCCTATGCTTAGCTTCATACCAACGAAGCCAAGCTAAGCTTAGTTTTATTTTAAGCCCTAAATGACCTCATTTGACCTCGTAAGTCAATTTAAAGCTCAAGATCAGCTTAGCTTGGGCTTAAGCTTAAGCCTAAGCCGAAGATAAGCATAGTTAAAGCTAAGTTAAGCCTATGCTTAAGCCAAAAAACAAATAGCTTAAGCGGAGCGCCTCGTAGCCTCTTACTACCAATTTCGGACTCCCAAAGAAAACGCCCAAAGCCGCGGAAAAGCCTCATTGTAACTTAAAAAGAACAAAAATTTTTGTAAGGCGCGGCCGGGGAGCCGAAATAGATTGCGCTGAGGGCACGCTATTCTGCCGTTGTGAGGAGCGCTTTGTACTCGACAGCGTTTAGGGCAGGTGTGGCATGATTGCCCTTTACAACGCCTTGAAAAGCGAAAAAACATCCGCTTTTCGAGCCCCCGGTGACATTTCGGTGCAGAACCAAGCGAAACTCGCGTGTCAACTCGAGAAAAGATTTATTTAATTGCGTCAATAGAAGTAAACAAGGTAAAATTCAAGTTTTCCGCTTTCAGACGAGAGAGAGAGGGTGAGAGAGGGTGAGAGAGAGAGAGGGAGAGAGAGAGAGAGAGATTAGGGCGTATCCGCTTCCAACACTTGCTGCCAGGCGCTGTTGTAACAATGCTCCGAAATGGCGTCGCGGCCTCGCCTCACTTCATCCGGACACCGCCAAAACTGGCCGCCGGTTGCCGCAGAATCCTGGAAGAATTGGCAGCAGGCGACGTATTCCCCCGGCTCGCCAATGTGCGGCTTTTTCTCGACGGAGATGCTGCAGGGCCCGTCCCGATCATCCCACAGTTTCCCAAGGATGCACCTGGTCAGAAATTGCTGCATATCCTCCTAAAAATGTCAAATTTTTGTAAGATACAAAGCTCCGGCTGCCGGCTTCGCAAGCGTTTTCGTGCTGCATGGAAGTCACCAGAAAAGGGAAAGTTGTAGGTTTGATAATTATAGTTATATGAATTATAGGCCACACCTCGCTCCGGTCAGCAGCCATTAAGAATTCGATGAAGATCGTTCGTGTTTTCCCGTTGGTCGGCGGATACTAAAGAACGAGTACCTTTTGCATGCTTTACCGCCATGATGCCAAATTATTATAATGACAAAATGCGTGCTTGAGTCTTCGTGGGGAATGGGGGGAGCGATTCTTTTTTCCTATGGGTCCAGGTTGGCCCAGTCATCGAGTGGAGTGCGGCTTATTCAAATCAAATCGCGACTCAAACCGGTTTGATTTGAATAAGGGCGTTGAATAAGAATCTGCTTTCAAATCAACCGGGTTTGGTTTGAATAAGCCGCACTCTAGTCATCGAGTTAACTGTATTTGAAGGGCAGAAACGTTCTCAAAAGTAGGAAAATGCTTGAAAAAGCCGAGATTTTGGCAATTTTGTGCTCTAAAAAAATGTCGATTTTCGAGTTCAAATATAACTTTTTTTTAGAAAAATTTGCAAAGTTTTTTCGTAGGGCAATGATTAAAAGAACGCTGCATTTTAACAGTTTCCCGATCCACATAAAAAAGCTAGGCTTCCACCGGAAAAAGTTGCCACCCCCCGCGAATACACAAGTTCCGCAAAATGTCATAATGGCAATGCTGCTATCGTAATGTAACTACAGAAGACGCGATACCCGGAGTGCTCTTCTCAGCACCGTGCGCGCATCGGCGCTTTTGAAAAGGCTGGCAAGGCTGCGGGACCGTATGAAGTACAAAAAGCGCATGGACGACAGCTGAAAAGGGGGGATGAATTGCGTTAATTTGGCCGACATTCATTTCACCGAATCTCATTTCGTCGAAGGCTATTCGTGTGTGCTTATCTGCTTTCAGAAATGTTTTTGCCACGGGGTGAACGAGAGCCAGCATTGAAAAGTCGCGAACACAACCCGCAATCCTGGCATCTCTCGAAAAACTGCTTTTACCTGATCGAAAGCTGCATTGATCCTCCGTTCTCTGACGTGATACTCTTCCCCCGTGAGGGGGGATCCTCTTCCATTCCCCTCAGCAGCACGATCTAATTGATTCCGGGCAATATGTCGATAAATCAACGAACGTACCGCAACGTCGGATTGCAAACGGTCGACCTGCAGCAGCCACGAATGATGACGTGTAGTCCGCTTGGTGATCGTTATACATGGCTGTCGGAGGAGGTGGAAACACGACGGAAACCCCTTTAAATCAACCAATCAATGTTTTACGTAGTAGAGCAAAAAGGGTGCGCGTGGAAGGGCATACCATCAATTCGACTCGACGTCGCCAACCAATTGTGCTGGCTGATGCGACATCAGGGCCGTCCGTACTGGAATCCGCCCGGAAGCTCAGCGATGCTGGGCGCAGCCTGTGGAAAAATGCGTTTAGCAGTTTTAGCAGCTGGGATGGGGTCGCCGTGAGTTGCCATCGAACTGGGCGCCTGAAATCAAACTCATGGTAGTGACAAACCCTTTATTTCTGGTTAGGATTCGGTTTAAAAAAGCTCAGGTGAAGCGCTTTTTTGTCGCTCCCTATTCGGCACAATTCACTTGCCCTAGCGATGGTTGGAGGAGGGTGAAATGGACGACATCATCTGCCGTATCGTCAATGCACCAAAGTATACTGATGCGATCCTCGGCGCTAATGCAATCAATTCGAAAGTTCTGAAATGGAAACAGGTTCTTTTTGTTCTTTTACTCCAAAAATTATATGGTTGATTTTCAAATTTTCACTGTATTAAACTGGAAAAAAATTGGAAAACCTGAAAAATATTCTCGAATCGTAATAAAACTCGAAAAAGGGATCGTGGAGATGGTGAAAAGCACAGAAAGTCCTACCGCATCGTCCAAAACGACGCTGATGTCGAGAATTTTGTGGCAGGTTGCAGTCACGTTCCATCCACACAGCCAATCTCTCCTCTAAAAAGGTAAATTCGATTTAAGGGCGCTGGGGGAGGAGCACGGAAATCGACCACCATGATCGGAAAATCTGTTCTTTGACGCTCTTTAGTTGCGGATATGGTCAGCCACCACGCACCTTTGTAGCTTGCCGGAGAAATGACTTGGCCCAGAATGACAAATGGGCACAGGTTGCCTGTTTCAAAACGGATGGAAGATTGTTGAAGGGAAATTGTAATGGCATTGAGGGGAATTGACCAAGACCAGAATGAGCCCTGCAGCCGGAGCGGTAATGGATTCGGCGGCAGACGGCCAGGGCAACGCTCAAGTTGTCGCAACACTAAAGCAACCGGTAGCGCGCGCACCGCCATTGATGCGTCGTTCCGAAAAACTGTATTCTTCAAGGGTTCTTCAGGTCACAGCAATTAGCAAACAACAGTCGAAAAAGGTAATTCGGGCGAGCACTGGGTCCAGTTCAAAAATGAACACACAGCCAGAAACGATCAGTATCAATCGAAAAAATTTGCTCTTCAAAAAAATTTAATTAATGGTCAAAAATACGGAAGAAACATCATAAAAAAACAGTGGTGCACGGTGAACAGGACGGGATTTTCGTAATTTTTATAGGGGGGTTTTGTGCCAATGCAAAATAGTGCAATTCTACTAATTCGGCCATGTGCTTCGAGACGCCGCCAAAAATCAGGGTTGAAAAAGTGATCGCTCACCATGCAGTTTATCTTGCGAATACCTAATTAGCATACATCATCTAGCATGCCGTAACCGGATATTTAGAAGTCATCTTCTCCCAAAAATTGGAATGAGTGCCGATTGTTGCGACGAATCCCCCGAACGCTGAGGCTCTACGCGACGAAGGGCAAGATGTGTTGCGGGTCAAAGTCGCAACGCGCAAAGGTGGGCCGGAGGAGGATTAAAAATTAGCTCCCAAGAAAATGAAAGATTCTCCCCACCCGATAATGCCAAAAAACCCACTTTCCTTAAAATAGACTAGAAACCTAAAACCCTGGCCCTAGAAACCAGACAGTGAGCCCCGCACCCTGCCCGCCCTCAACATTGCCGACTCATCGAAGAAGACACCACGAGCCTCGTAGGTTTTCTAGCGATATCACGTCACCGTCCCTTTAAAGCACCGTACACCTCCAAATTTGGTTTTTAGGCAACGCCAAGACGGGGCGGCCCGCTGGGCGAACGCGCCGCCGCCAAAGGCCGCCGAGCCATCGTCGGATAACACGCTCAAGGGGGTGGGACACAGATTTTCCTAGAAAATCTCTGCTAGCCTGCCCTTTCCTAAAGAATCTCTGCTAGCCTGCCCTTTCCTAAAGAATCTCTGCCAGGTACCCGATGAGATGCCACAATATATGGACTACCAAGTGAAGGAGCTGATCTTTACGGAGGATCAGCTGTGATGCGTGTCAATTCCTTCATTCGTGGCCGTCGTCTACAACTACTCGAATCGATATCATAATAATGCTAATTACTTCTTCCATTAATATTCCGTCAACGTGTGTTCAGATTGATATTTGTATCCAATAAACTTGGCATGTTATTTTGGGCTTGGTGGGCTTGGAAACGCATAAAAACGAGGCCTTTTTAGTTTTGGAATATTTTAAAGGGATTAGGAAGTCAGACAAAATACTAAAAAAAATATCGAAACGACGTTTTCTCTCTCTCACTCTCTCGCTCTCTCTCTCTCTCTCTCTCTCTCGCTCCGCCTGGCTCTCTCTCTCTCTCTCTCTCTCTCTCTCTCTCTCTCTCTCTCTCTCTCTCCCTCTCTCTCTCGCTGTCTCTCTATCTCGCGCGCGCTCTCTCTCTCCGTCTCTCACGCTCTCTCCGTCTCTCTCTCTTTCTCCGTCTCTCTCGCTCTCTCTCTCTCATTCTCACGCCGTGTATTTTTTATAATTAATTCTATGTTTTATTCAAAAATTTACACAAATACCGTAATACAAACATTTAACGGGAAAACGAACAAACAATTTGCAACATTAAAATTACCAAAAACGGGGTTTAGAGTATTGTGATTTGGGTTTAACTTTACTGTTATTAGCATAAATTAAATTACAAAAATTAGCATAAATAAATTGTTATATTTTATTGTTGTTATCTGTTGGCTTGTGACACGCGAATCTAACCTTTGTTTTTGTTTTTGTGGAATATTTTTGTTGCGAGATCGTCGATATGCAAATTTCTGGGAGTCTGGAGGGAGGAGGGCGAGGGATTATGCAAATTGGGTCGTTGGGCATGGTTTTAACGGGCCTGGGAAGGGAAAAATCGAGCATTTTCGACATGGCACGTTGCCAAAAAAATCGTAAATTTCTTCCCAGTGCCTTTAAATCCAAAAAATTGGGGTATATGGCAATTTTAAAGGGACTTGGAAGTCAGAAACAACGTCTTTTTCGATTTGACAAGCTGCCAAAAAGGCCGAAATATCGATAAAAACCACTACAAAGTTCCTTTAAAATCACAAAATTGGTGATTTCCAGTTTTAAAGGAACCTGAAAGTCAGAAATGGCGTCAATTTTCGGTTTGGAAAGCTGCCAAAACGGTCGAAAAACGCGTAGATCACTTCCGAGTCTCTTAAAACCCCAAAAAACGCGTGATATGGCAATTTTAAAGGGACCGGGAAGTCGGAAACGACGTCGTTTTTCGATTTGGCAAGCTGCCAAAAAGCCCGAAAATTCGATAAAATGAGTTCAAAGTTCCTTTAAATCAAAAAAATTGGCTTAGAGCCAAGAAAATCAATCGGGCGAGGGGATGTGGAGGAATTAAAAAAATTGACTCTCTGCTCAAAGCGAAGTGTGGACGACTCTAATTTACAAATAATGGATGGGGGCGGGGCTTGGGAGAGGAGGGTACGGTAGCCGGGGCACGTTTTAAACTTTCAATTTCAAGCGAAAATACGAGATTTTGGTTTGTTAATTTCTTTAAAAAAATTCCCAAATTCTACCGTACCCCCCTGTGGATTCCGGGGGACAACTTGTACGTACGGGGGTTTTTTCCGTGTGGCAGCACTAATTTTGTGTGGGGGGAATAAATAAGTGGGGCTGGCGGGGAGGATTGTGACTAGTAGTGTACTGTAGTATAACAATTTAAAACGAAAAAAATGACAATTCCAAAAACTGACAATCGGGGTGTTTTTAGGAATTTTCCGGAATTTTTCGATATTAATGTATTTTGATTGAATTTCCCAAATAATCTCTGCTATGCCCTTATGATCTAAAAATGCTAATTTCTGCAAAGGTAGACTAGCAGAGATTTTTTGGGGAACAGGCCTTAAAATCTTAAAATGGAAATTTTCTGAAAATTCCTCAAAAATCTCTGCCAGCCTGCCTTCTTGCAAAATCAGACTAGCAGAGATTCTTCGGGAAACGGCCTCAAAACCTCAAATTCTAAATTTTCTGAAAATCCTTCCTCAAAAATCTCTGCTAGCCTGCTTCATAATTTATAAAATTTTGATTTTTTTATTATTTTTCTAATCTTGAAATCCCTTTAAAAACCCCAAATTTTCCGGAAAACCCCTATAGACCGTCTACAAAAATCAAAAATTGTCTTTAAATCAGAAAAAAAATGTACTTTTCACGCGGTGTACCCCTCGTCCATCAGCTCGGGCGACAGTTTCCGGATGCACACGTGGCGGAACATGCGGCTGCGGATGTCCGTCGTACTGTAGACGCAGTCAAAGTCCACGCCGCATTTGCACCTGGAAAATGGGGCATTTTTTAAGAGAAAACCATTTTTTATTTTTTAAGGAGGTGCTTTTGCATTATCGGGGGGGTAGTATAAATTTTAAGGAGATCTTGCTAATGTTTTTTGCGATTTTTAGGCACAAAAATGTCACAAGTTTTCATGAAAAAAATACCAAAAATATCGATTTTTTGACGAGTTTCGTCGAAATTTTCATTTTATGGATTACTATACAGG